CTTTCCCCCCCCCCCCCCCTTCTCTCTCTCTTCCTCATTCTCCGATTCACCGAAGCGTCTAAGTGGAAGGAACTCAAGCTCGATCTATTTGCTCTTTCCGGGTTTCCTCGAGCCGCACTAACTCCTCTGCACTCCGGCTGTAATCGACTGCCAGTTGAGATCTTCCTCTCTCGAATACATTCTGGCCCGGGCGATGGTTCCCATTCATCCAGCTCGTCCCGGTTGACACCCGGTCGTTGCCGTCGCTTAATTCGCGAATATTTCACCGGCGCGTCACCCCGAAAATACGCTACAGCTGCTCGCGTCGTGTCTACAATCGGGGCCACCTTCGGCACATACCCCACCGAAGAGTCCGCAGTCGTGCCATAAATCTCAGCGCTGATACATTTTTACTTATCACGTCCCCATCGCGCGGTTTCCTCGTGGTCTCGCGTTACTCGCGCGGTAATCTCGCTGTGTGATTTAAACGACCGACGAACGAATTATCACCCCGCCTTTCTTCATGTATGTTGCAGACGGCTTTACATTGGGGCGCCAAACATGGTAACGAGAACATCGTTAAATTAATAGCGGGTACCTACAAAGACTACATCAAGAGTGTCAATGAAACTACGGTGAGTATCGTTTCTCTAAGATTGATAGATAAAATGTTGGTTCATAAAATTAGTGTATATAGACATTATAAAATGTAAGAACGATGGTTTACTTTACATATAGAATATTGAAGCGATTATTCGATCTTATACTGTTATTTGAATGATAATGTAAATTCCTATTTTTTATATTTCCGATGTCTGACCATTGGATGTCTCCATCGGATGCAGAATGGGGTAAGTGTACCTTATTTTTTAACTATTGCTTAATACGCAGTAAGTAGATTAGCAATTTATAATTGATATATTAAAAAATAACGTCTTTAATGAATTCTATTTCTTACATCGATGATTTTTACATTGAGATTAAGACAAAATGTATCCCAGATACATTTGGATAACATCGAGAAAGAGCGAGTATCTGCGGCAGTCCTTGTCACGATCGCGTATAATTTGCCAGACGTATGGAGAGCGGGATCGGTTTAGGGGGCGAGTCGTGTTGTAAGAGGTAGAACAAACGGAGAGTCAGTCCAGCGTAGCAGAAAGGAAGGAAGGCAGGAAGGAAAAGGAAAGGAGAGAGACGGTCGAAGCGCACAGAAAAGCCCGCAGATAGGATCGGATGTGTGTGGTCCCGCCGCTCTTTGCTCTTTATAAGACTTATATAAGCCGGGAGTGCTTCACGACAAGAGACGGCGTGCGACGAGGGAGGCGAGTACTTAGAGGAGGGAAGAGGGAAAACGGGGTCCTTGCTCGTTAGTGGTTCGCGACAAACTCCATCTCGGGCTCCTGTCCTCGCGTTATACTGGACAACAAAGTTATTTCAATTTTTTGTCACGGACATTGCATCGGGCCATGATTGCCAGTATTTGTTACTCTAAAGCCAATTAGGTTTATAATCTTTACAGGTCGGGAAGTCACTACAGAACCTGTCATATTTTGTGGCAAGAAATACAATAAATTATAATAAATCTTAGGCTCTGCACATAATGGAAGAAATATTAAAAACAGGAAGAAATATTAAATATTAGAGAAATAAAAAAGTAGGAATAGAGATTAAACGTAATGCACAATGAATACAGATAGAAATAAGTTATAACATATATGATGTCTTGTGTTTTATTTATATTCATTATGCTGCATTATGTTTAATCTATTTCTAATTTTTTTTATTTCTTTAATGTTTTATATTTATTCCCTAATATTTCCATTGTCCGCAGGGCTTTACTCAAGAAAATATAAGATTTTAAAAGTAGACCTCTCGCCCTCTAAATGTTAATCTTTCTTCTTTCTATTACGTAAAACTTTTGAGCGATGTCATTATAATTTTATAAAAATCTAATTTTTTATATTACACTTACAATTAGTGAGAATTAACGATTTTACGATAAATTGAAATATTCGGTATTTTTAAATTATCGTTTCGAACAGAGTTGGAAGGAGCTTACTTAACTCATTTAATTTTTTCCTTTGTCGTTCCGTCATTAGATGGAAATTGAATTCGAAGCGCATGTATTCCAAAAGCCGGTTCATTTATCTTCTTGTAAGGTCTTCACCATAGCTCCTTCGCGCACGGTAGACTCATTTGTTTCCGCCGGTGTAATCCGAACTGACCTGTCGACACCGCAGCACACCTTTTCTTCCTTGCCTCTAAATCCACGTTCTTCTACAATTCGTTGTCATCCGTTGAGCGTTCTTTCAACTACAGAAATCTTATCGAAAAAAAACGACAATTTTCTTTATACCATCGCTTCGATAATTTCCATGCCATACCAAAAAAAATTGGAAAATAGTTTCTTTAAATAATTTGATATAAAACAGAGAAATTAATATTAGCGAGAGCTTTATTCTCGAAAAATATCGCATACGAAAATATACGAAAATACTAAAGTATACGTTACATATATATTATAGATTTCCCTAGTATTTCTGTACACGATATTTTTCAAGAATAAGGGTTAGAATTCAAGAATATATAAGAGTATAGCAGAAGAGAGTCAAGAGTACATATATAAGAGTGTATGAGAGATTTCCTTTTAATACAGAAACATTATGCGCGCAGACGTCGCTATTTTCGTACCTTCCCAATGACAATCCCGGCTGACTCGATGTTGCCGGGGATTAGCGCCGGATATAATGAATACGGTCGTGCTCGTGTACGTACCGATGTAGAGTAGGTAATCCACACCCGGACGGGGGAGATCTGTCCTCGGCGAATCCTCGCTCTGCTTTTTTCCACGACGCGGCTTTAGGACCAGACTGCGGATCGCGCGGTGCGGCGTAATCTGTCACCGGCATCGCTCCCGCGCCGCGCTTTCCTACGGCTTATCCCGGGCACTGGCTTTCCCCCAATCCCGTGGCAAATGAAAGGACGGTGGGAAAAGAGTATTAAAAAAAACTCTGCGATTACCCGGTAGCTTCGTAATGCACGCGGAATCGCCCGTGGCACAGCGCCGATCTCATCCTCGACTAATATCCGCCACTCGAGGGCATCGATACCGGTTCGCTTGACATGGTCACCGGAAACCTGAAAAAATCAGTAAATTGCAAAAAGTACCATAATGGGAAATAAAAAAAAATTATTCTCTTCCTCATGCGTGCTACGATTCGCGTGTTACTCAATATTCATCAATTTTCTTTGAATTCTTGCATTACTTAAAATGTCACTAACTCGAACAAGTTATTTTACCCAGGATGTTAACATCAAGCTGCGCAGCTTCATCTCATCACGCAAACTTTGGAATTTTCGATGCAGCGGAATGTAACAAACACCGAACGGATCTGACTGATGGTGCTTTTAGCGTGAAAAATCATAGCGCGAGCGGTCTGTTTTTTTTTTTTTCGAACGTTTGGTTTCATCGGTGGAGAAACTCCGACCTGCTTATCGTAAGAATTTACCACGGTTTTGCCGCCACTTACCAATTCTTTTTTTAAATCCCCAGTCGGTGTTAAATAAAACGGGTGCGCCGCAGCCTCGACGACGAAGCGGATCGCAGTCACGGGCATAATCTGTCACCGGTACCGCTTCTACCGTGCTTTTCTACGGCTTATCGCGGCATCGGCTCGCATTTAATCCCCGCAAAAAACGGTGGCCACGTCCCCCAAGCCCCGTACCCACAGGAGGCTCCCGTAAGCCGACCGTGTGGCGCCTGCATCCTTGCTTAACGTAACGACAATGGTCATTCTATCCTTGGTTAGGGTTTTGTAGATGCGACTAGAATATACCTCATGAGTGATAACAATGTAATTCCTTAATAAAATTCATCATTAGGGATGGATAATATGAAAAATTGTTAACAGTAAGAGAAATTATCTATCGCGCGTTGTAATATTTTTAGCAGGGTTGGGAAGTAACTAGTTACTTGTAACTAAGTTACAGTTACAGTTACTTCTTTTCAATAACTGTAACTTAATTTACTTCCTTTTTTTCCATCTGTAACTGTAACTTAACTTAGTTACATTTCTTCCAATAACTAATAACTGATTTAACAGTTACTTTTACATTACTTTACATTTTAAACTTATTTGTTAATTTAATGTGATTGATTAAAATCTGAATACTGATTAAGGCTACAGTTCACTTGATGCTACAAATGCTTCGAAGTATTTTTTGATTAGTCAATAAATTGTAAACTTAAATTATTTTTTTTTTTTGATAGCCCTAATGATATTGATGTCACTCATATTGTTCCGTTATTACAACAGAAAAGTAACTAAAAGATTACTTTTTTAATAACTGTAATTGTAACGAGTTAATTTTTAGTCTAACTTGGAACTGTAACTAGTTACTTTTGGAAGAAGAAAACTGTAACTGTAACTAGTTATTTTTACAAAGTAACTTTCCCAACCCTGAATTTTTTAGTTTTTATGAACTACTGCAACTTGGATCATCAAAGATTGGAAAAGAAAAAATATGAAATAGGTACTTAAGCAAACTGTCAAATAAGAAGCCTAATCTCTAGAAATCAAGTTTTAGTTAGGTATTATCCGATTAGACTCGTTCATGTTTCAGTTTTGTATCTTCATCGCAGTTAGGATTGCCATCCTTTTTCTCTCCGTTCTCATCTTTTAGCACGTTTGGGAATGTCCAGGGGGATTTCTCGAAGCCGTCCGAGGTTTCAAGGTGTCTTTTAAGTATTTTGCTTTGACTCTCACGTTACCCTGTATTAATCCCGATCTACAATATGTAGATATAAGTAGTAACTTTTAAGCCGATCAGTCAAATGTGAAAAGAATAAGCAATCAATCAATTTTTTATGATTTGTAACTTACAATAAGCCGTATTCTTTCTGACATATTTTACTAACTTACACGCATTTTTGTGTCCAGGGTTGCAAACGAAATGTCTGCCATTTTTTACCTCTTCTAGTTTTAAAAATTTTGTAATCCTTATGTCACTGCAGTGAATATACACACTAAAAAACCTATTTGATTGAACTAATCTTTTGTTTGGATATAGGCAAACAAATCCTTTAAAAATAATTTAGTTGAAGCGAAAAATTTGATTATTGTAACATTTTACTTATATTATCAGAAATAAGTAGAACGTACAGTACAAGTAGAATGAAGTACAATAATCGAACTTTTTGGAGTTGAATTTTGATCATGCGAAAATATACGAGACATGTAAAAAAATGTCTACACAATAGATCGCAGAAAATGATATTGCCTTCCAGCCGATTTTCGAGCAGGCCCACGTCGAAGAACGAGATATTCTCGGAACGTGCGAGCTTCCTCCCCCGATTCCTTCACACTTCTAGAATAGGCGGGGAAATGGAGAAGTGCCGTTATGATATAGCGACTCGTAAAGGCGGCCCGATGTAGGAAAATATTAAAATTGAAAATCTTCAACGGTGATATACGCGTGCGTGATATTGGTGGCCGGCAGCTGTCCTGTTCCTGAAGGCTGCTGCAAGGATGAAAGAGAGAAAAACGAAAAAGTAAGGCAGAAAAAAGGACATGTTACGCGCGAGTAGGCGCACTTGAGAGAAGAAACGAACAGAGACGAGAAAGACAGAGACGGAGTGGCGGTAGGGACGCGATATTGTCTCGAGACTCCGCGTGTGCTAGGACATTGCTACTTTAAAATATCATCGTGAACATAAAAAGAGGGTTCTCCGCGTGCACGTATCCACTTACATATAGAGTGTTTCAAAAGTCACTCACTTTCTAATAACTTGAATCCAGGATCCAATATGCCTATTTGATAATTAAAATTCAGGCTTTATAATCATCGAAATGTTCTATTTTTTTAAATATCCTGGTCCAAATTATAATCTCATTAAAATCCACTTAAATACTTTGAGGATATAAAGTTATCTGTTCGTGATGTAAAATAATAAATTTTATAAAGCCTCTGTCGCGTTTCTAGTTCAAAAACTGTCGATTTGAACGTTTAAGCAACTAGCTGTTCTTAATTAGATTTAATTCTAATTAAATAAAAATATCTACGAATCGTAAGAAGCCGTTGCTTTTGCGACACCTCGTAAGTGCACATCCACATCACGAAGGGATGAGCAAGGGTGCGTGCGTGAGCTCGGCAAAGGGTGTGTCGTGCCACTTGTCGCGAGGACACACGTGTCGCATGCTATTGGAGTTGGCAAAAGGGTGACGCGCAAAAGTCCACCCCATATATGTGCCGTTTTTCGTTCTATGTGACCGTGTTTATATGTCGTGACTTTTGCGCGCGTACCTATAGGCGCGGGGACTTTAAAGTGAAATAAATTAGAAATTTTAAGGGGGTGAGCCACGCGCTCTTTCCACGCGCGAATCAGCCAACCCCTTCTCTCCCTCAGCTCGTATTATCGAGGGTGCCTGAACGCGGAGGGTGCGTCCCGTTTCGATAACTACGATTGCGGTTTTGACACATTTGTCACTATCGTTTATTGCACAGTTCGATATTAAACGCCACGATATACAGTCAAGCGTCGTTCATGAACTCAGTCACGGGGACGATTTTTTAATCGCACTTCCGTAACGCGGCCAAATGTCGCGCTCGGCCGCGTATCTCGAGGGTGATTTTAATTGAGGGTAAAAGCATTATACAGATTCAAATCGGCTCTTTCGTTACGCATTTTCCACCACGGCTTTACAGCCGATGACACATATAGCCAATGTAATTGTACTACGATTATGCATGCCGCAAGTATAATTGAAATGAAACATATTGCATCTGCAAATTTAATTTACGAAAATCTTTTTCTGTTCATTTATTCTTTTCTCTTATAATTAATATTTAATCTTATTTAATCAAGAGACACTTAAAGTAATGTTTTTGTAAAATTTCTCCATGTAGAAATATACTGAAAGAAAATATTCTGGTTACCAATAAGAAGTATAATAAAACGAAATAGTTCTGATTATATGAATCAGAAGTTTAATTATGATAATCAGAATTCTAGTTATTGTAATTAAATTTATGCCCATACAGTATAGAAGTTTGCAGCAATATTATTGCAATGCAATGCATGTTGCAATATTATTGCTATGTTACTGTAATATTGCTGGAATGATCTGTGCTGTGTGGGTAATTATCTCCATTAGAATGTTTAATACATTGAACTATAAGTGTCCGATTTGTACTTTTCTACTTAAATGTACCAAAACTCTAATTAATGCAACAAGACTTTTCTAGATTAAGATCAATAAATAGAAGCTTTAAAAACCCCCATTTTACATTCATGTCATATGGTGAATATGAAAAATGCATAAGGTAACAACAGTATTTTGATATGTTTCAGACGCCTGGTTTTTTCCCTCCTTCGCGCGTTTCCTCCCTTCAAATGTTTCGTATATTTTACACGTATAAAATGCACTTTTATGACAGCTTCGTCTGCGTTTTCGTCTCCGCCGGATAATGACTCGCACACGCACACAATTACGTGCAATTTGTCGTACTTATCGACGCGAGCATCGTGACCGCGGCGTGTACGTGATACAACGTGCTCTTTCATGAATGCTAGCCCACGGCAGGAATACACGATGTCCCTGACCGATTGCGGTTACTTTTCACCGTAGATACCGTCTGCGAATTGTGCCGAGGCGAAGCATGTTCGCGAGACCGTCGGGCGATGAATAGCCTTTCAATGGAAAACAATTGATGACGCATCATTTGAGTTACGCTCAAGAGTGTTGAAACCTATGTTGCAGTCTGTCGAGTTTTAATTTGGCTCCTTTTGTTATTCGTAGGACTACCCCACAGCTCGTGTTTGTTCAAAGATCAATTCTTCATGAATTTCGATTTGTCAGTTGAAAGGGACAAAACTGTTTATAGAGACTTCATATACCGGTGGTTTCGCGTTTTGCATACCTTAATTCAAGGCCGCACTACGTGATCGGTTCTTCTCGGCTGATCGGCTTTCAACGACTTTTATATAAATTAAACCAGTTTCCCTTCAGCAAAAGAGGTATGTTACAGCTACGATGCGAGCATTAGCTCATATTCTATCACATATCACGAAATGTAATTTAGACTTACGATAGAGATACTTTATCTAATTATAAATATATAGATACTGTAAAATCAGGTAATTTTGGCTCATTCCCGGGTTCACAAATCGATTTGAAATCGATTGATTTTTAGGACCGTTTGATTTGATTCTACTAGATTTACTATTGATCTTCAAAAGAAGATCCACATTTTATCGATGCATGTTGATAAAATATCTATCTTCTTCGAAGATCAATAGAAAATGTAATCGATATTAAATTAAACGGTCCGAAAAATCAATCGATATCGATTTGATTTCGATTATGAACCAGGGAAGTTTTGAAATTGTCTACTTTCTAAAATCTTTGGAGTGGAATCTAATTTTAAAGAATGACAATTGAGCCATTGTTGAAAAAAGGTGGCTCAATTATCAATTTTTAAGAATGAGATTTTTTTAGGGTTAGATTCCACTTCAAAGATTTTAGAAAGTAGGTATTTTTTAAATTTGGGCCAAAGTTATATAAATAAATTTATTTTTTAATTTTATAAATTGATAAATTTTTAGCTCGAGTTACCCATTTTACGAAATAAAATACAGAAGAAAATGATTATTTCATACTATGGTACCTGCAGCATAATTTTCCGTCCGATATCCAACACACAAATATACAGCACATTATTTCGACGATCAAAATCATCCGTGCGGCGATAAATTCATAGACCTTATCGGATTCACTTGTAACTATCATAATACTACTACGCATTAAAGTGGATCGTCGGTCGCGATCAAATGCACGTATTGTATTACCTTTATAAAAGCGAAAGAGAGCCATCGGGGCCGGCAGCTGTTGCCTGACACGCGAGCTGGAAAAGCAGCTCTTTTCACCTGCCTGCCCGAGTCGAACGAGACTAATTGTGAGATAACGCCTTCTTAATATTTCTGCCCTCGCAATAAATGGTGCGTACAGCGCGATATCCCGAAGACCTTGACGTGTCGTTTGCAACGATGAAAATGTAAGAGCTCCACTTAACATTTTACGTTTGTAGATTAGTTTGATATTATCTCTTAATGAAACAGTGTTGCTTAATAAAGATACCTTGTATGAAATAGCGTAAAGAGAAACGTGTCCACGGATTGATATTTGTCCATGCCGTTATTTTCCTTTACACGTTATATATCGAAGGTCTCATATCGTTTAATGGCCTGACTTATTTAAATTCACATTAAGGTATATCGTTTGCTCAATTACGTGCACAATCAATTTATATGTACATAATATATCCGAATGTTTAACTTTCTGTGCTACTCACAGATCGATCAAAAAACTGTCAAGAAATAATTTCGATTTTAGGTGCAAATTAGCCTCGCTTCATAACATAAAATATTGCGCTAATTACGACTCTAATTAAAATGTGTCTTGTAGTCAAGATTAATCAGCGGACAATCTATATTATCTCAATTTGCTTGCGGCATTTAGAAGAGGCATTGTGTTCAGATAGGAATATGAAGATTCGCATAAGAGCCGAATAAAAATGCATGCGTGCAAACGATAGAGGCGATGCACGCGAGGCTAGTTTTTCGTCTCGCCGTTTCCCTTACACACGCACGCACATATGTGATTGTTTCGGATCGCGCCGTTGTCGCGGAAATGCGAATTCGCACGCTCGAGATGATATTCATAATACGGTGCCATTAATTACTCATTGTCTCTGCGACGGCACCGCTACCATCCCCCTTTTCTTTCCGCGTCTCCTTCCTATCGTTACTGTCTTACTCGTAAATGCACGTCACGCATTCGAGCAAATCATAATAAGATATGCAACACGTCGGACAGAAGGTGTGATACGGTCCCTCCCTGTTATTTTTCTTCCACCTTATTACGATTTCCTTCCATCGGGAGAAAGAGAGAAAGAAAGAACGAAGGAGATTGGCGTATCCTTTTCGTAAGACGGCGCCGGAAATGGCGGACAACGCGGAGGAATAATACACGTGTACAATTAAAGATACATTATTCATTAAATTGTAGACCGAACGTGTTTATAAGTATATTAATAACGCGCGCGTACTTTGCGTCAACGTGAAAGCACGTGATTCGTGAACATTGTGTTAGCGTGATATTTTACACGCTCGTCGAACGAGAATATTGTTCGTCTTTTAATTTGCCTAATTATCGATACGCTCTCCTTACTCCTGGACATAATTAATATCTATATAAGTGCGTTTAAACGTCGCTACGGAAAGATCGAAGATACGTCCATTTATTCTTTAAACGATCGAAAATGTTATGCCTTGTTCTAAAATATATATGTCAAAGTAGAGATCCTCAAGTAAGATATTGGATATCTTTTAGACTCATTTCTATCAATATAGATTAATTTTAATCTTGATTTAATTTACTCTTTATCCTTTTCTATTTCTTAAAACTAAAAGAAGATAGAAAGTTAAATCGAGATTAAAGTTAATTTACATCGGTAGAAATAGATAGGCAATTTTTATTTGTCTAGATTTAGGACATGCTTAAGATAAAATGAGAGAGATGCATAAGATAGAACGAGATGTAAAAAAATAAAATGAGATGAATATCTCATTCTATTTTAAGTGTTTAATCTACCTATATTTAGAATAATATCTAATGTTATTTGAAGATCTCTACGTCAAATTATTGTCATTGCATTTTAGGGCTACACACCTTTGCATATCGCTATGCAATTCGGCCACGAGAACATATTCAATCTCTTAGTTCAAGTATACGGTGAGTATGCATTTTCTCTGTGAAATGACAAAAACTCCGTAATGATCGCATTTAATGACGGATTTTGAAAATCTATTTTCAGGCGCGAATCAGGACATACGTGACTACAGCGGTAGGAAGGCCAGACAGTATCTAGCCTCGCAAGAGGCGGCAGTTAGCCAGGACACGTTCCACAGTAAGTACATTCTCTTTATGAAGGAAAACGCTACTTTATATATATATATAGAGGGAGAGAGAGAGGGAGAAACGAAACGCAACTTTTGTACATAATCTGCGAAGGGTTGCGTTTGCGTGGATATTCTGAGATGTTCTTCATAATTAGCATTAGTTCCTTCAATAGTATACAAAAAGAACAGTTTTACTGAAATAAAAATGTAACTAGATATAGATTTGAAAATAATTTTGTTTGGCCGTCAAAATAATTATGTAAGACGCTCAAATTAATTTTTAGAATGTTAAAATTTTTTACAGCATTATCATCCTCATGCTTAAAAATTTTACATAATTATTTTGATGATCCAACGAAATTAATTTCAGATTTGTGTATCTAGTTAAATTTTTTAATATTTCAGTAAAACTGTTCTTTTCATGTATGATATTAACATCTCCAATTCGCATATTACGAATTAATGGCGTCTTTTATAAATACGATTTATAAGACTATTTTTGAGAACTTTAACTGTAAACTGTACAAAGCAATCTTCTCGCCCGCCTTCGAGAATGCAGCACACGTTATTTTCATTCGTTTATCGATTTAAGAAAAACAGCCCGTTTCGTGTTGACGAACAAGATCACGACGACGTTTTATAAATTATTCATACCAATCCTCCCTTTTTTCCCGCCGTCTCACATATGCGAAATTGCAGCGAAAGTTTGACCGTGGGATATTAAAATCTTTTTTTTTCTTCACATATTGTACGAATCTTCTTTTTTTTCGCATGTTACTATCAAATAAGACATTGTTCGTCTCACGCTATGAAAACGGGCCGTAGAAAGAAAGCAGTTTGCATAACGTGAATACAAAAGACATAATCGCCGTCTGGAAAAGTTGTTTAAAGGAATTCCCCGATCCCGTGCCAAACGCACCCCAACCACCGCTTGCGTCGCCGCCGTAAAACCAATTACGCCTCGTAGTATACTGTAATTTACACCGTTTGTCAGTGTGAGTCCCATCAAAGTTCCGTTGCTTTCCGCCGTGTATCCCGTGTCGATCATTGTTCATCATTCTCCCACTCGTGACGTTTGCTTGTCACGCTCCAGCACGGTCCGTTAACAGCCGATTCCGCCTAATTCTCGAAGATCGCATATGATGCGGCAACGATATTGTTAGTACCCTGCAAGCTAGTATTCTCAGACTATAGATACTCCGCGTGCTTACATCTGGACTCTATCTTAACATCGCTACTTCTGCATATCGCTAAATTTCGCACGTCTATTAACATCCTTGCCATGGTATTACTCTGCTATGATTAACTCTCAATATATACCGTTACCAACAATACTGCGTAGATAATAATGCATCCTCGAGCTAGGATATCTAGGATATCTTTCTATCGCTTTAGACGCCTCTTTAGATTTATTAGGTATGTAGACGTAGGTCAGGCATGACGTGACGCGGTATTCGAAATAGTTGGAATGGAGAATGGTTACGGGCTCGCTCTTCGGTGAGTATTTCGGGGCTCTGGAAGTATTCTTCTGTTATAGGGATTACTGCTGCCGCTACACTCAGGCAAGTTCAGAAGCACACCTCCGCTAAAGTAGTAAAGCGCTTGTGTGTCGCCAGATTAAAGTACGTAGGCGCACCTTAGAGTAACGTATGACTGTCACTTTTCTGCACTTCTGACGTGAGTATCTCGAAGTTTCACGGGTCTCGCTGCGCGAATGTATGTACGCTCCGGAGACTCGCCCGAAGATATCATTTGCCGAAAGAAGCGAGCGTTGAACACGAACCCGTTTTGCTTCTGGCGCTTTACGAGCAATGTTCGTTCATCACTGTTCCCCTGCTAAACGTCTGAAATGTCGAAAATGTGTTAATGTTGAAAGAGTTTACAGTAGCTTTGTACTTATTCCACGAGTAACAACTCTATGTTGATCTGCATAAATATTCATTTCTAACATATATTCACTTCATAAATTAATATTTAATATATAATCAATTACTGGTAACGAAACAATCTCTTTTCGTGCGTAACATACGTGTACATTCCGTTTCCTTTTCATCGATAAATGTTGATCATACGTTTCGCAACAGCTATGAAACATGAATTATTCAAGTGGCAGTAATACATCGTCGTCGTAGAAAATTAATGTTATGTAACTGGCAATATGAAATGAAATTAATCTTGGAATTGAACTTGTAATTTTTTATGTCACATGAGCGATGAAGCGCTGATACAAATTAAAACATAATAAGACTCTCTACTCCTGCATCCTAATTTATTTTATTGTTATATAAGATATTTCATTTCACATCGCTGCTATTATTTATTATTGTTTTTGTATAAGTGAGAGAGAGAGAGAGAGTGTGTGTGTGTGTGTGTAATATGTGTTATAACTTAAATAGAGCATGTACACGTAAGCATGAGAAGCACATACATACACATCACGTCAGCCGATTCTCAGCATCACGTTTTATTCGCACTGGATAATTATTATATCTGATAACAATGACAGGACGTGTAATTTTCGAAAGGGAAAGTAGACTCAATTTTTATACTAACTTATTTAACCGTATTATTAACTTCCCGTTGACTCCCCTATTCTTTCTATCTAATTCCATATTGCGCGAATTATACGTTTATTAACTATACGAAATAACATTTCCACACACACACACACACACACACACACACACACACACACACACACACACACACACACACACACACACACACACACGTTAAGATTACTTTTTAATTATAGATTTGTTATTAACAGAATTTTTTGCGTATAAAGCTGCTTCTCTTTAGACTTTATTAAGTATATTAGCCATAATTAATATATCCCCTAATATCGTATTTTTTAATAAATAGCTTCTTTTTCTTTTTATTCGGTTCTAACTCACTTGCAATATTCTTTTATCAATCTTCCCTTTTTCTCGCTGTCTGTACGAGACACAGTTTCAAATGATTTTCTATTTTATTTCAGAAATAAAAGCAAGGAAAAAGCATGCAGGTAAGAAATAATTCCTTTGGTGTCCGAGCGTTTTAGTAGAGCGTTTTAGAGACTAACTTAGCGCATGAGATACAAGCTAAATAGACATTAACACCAGAGCATTAGTTTCCTTTTCATTCCGTCAATTTTATAGTTTTATTAATAACCCCGCTTATAATCGTATAGTATCAGTTTTAATTTTATAATAATCGAAGAGTACTATATTTCCGTTGTAGAATTAATTAACGTAGAAAAATATAGATGGTCATCAGAGATATATGCGCGAGTCTGTCGATCGACTGTATTCTTCCATTATAAAAGTTACGTTGTAATAAGTAAGACAACTGCAAGAGCATCGTAACAGAGCGATTGATTGAATACACAGAGAAAGATCTTGGTTTCCTACGAATTGGCTCGTTGAACGTTCGCGTGAAACGTACTACGGAAGCCTTCAGCCAATTCCTGGGTGTGGCAACCAGCAGTACAACTAACAACGAGAAGATTCATAAATCGTGGGGATCCGCCGATAACGTTCAGGTACTATTCTCTTGAGTTCAATGTGTCATATATTGAATTGAACACGTTACAGATTAAGATAATGCATAAATTCCATAGTGAAAAATGTACATATTTAGTTTCTTTGATTAAATAGGTCTGTTCGCGTTGCTTGAAATCCCCAAAAAAGTATGCACTATATATATGTATAATATAATTACATATTACACTATCTAATAAAAAATATATATGAATATATAATAGAAATATATAATTATACAAATTTAATGGAAACGTATAAATAGAATAAAGGCAAATGCTTTTACACATATTGGTTAATAGAATTATTAATAACGCAACATGCAATATTACTGTCCATTCTAATTTCTCGCGTGTTTCGCTGTGACGTTTCTCGTCGCAAGCTGGAGCAGAAGCTGATGCCACCGCCGAAGTACGCGCCCATCAAGAAGCGCAGGAGCAGACGGCCGCAGGATTTCGGTTCATCACAGGAGCGGCAGCAGGTCGCCAGTCAACCAACTACTCCGTTGCTACAGGGTAAGATGAACCGACCGAACCGGACTGTTCAGCGTCGACCAACGTCCACGACATCGATCAACTCCAACTCCATCGCGTCTGGTAGCGTCCAGCAAAACGATTCCGACTCCGACACGACGTGTGGTTTTGATTCCGCATGGCGAGGATCGGCCCAACTGTAACTAGCCTAATTCGTTATTCTAGATAGCGTCGCTCACGCTTATTCGACTGCACGAAATATAAGAAAACTTAGATCCTAAGAAGCTTTAGAGACCGACAGTATCTCTGGCAATTCTTTCAAAAATGACGGAAACGAAGATCTATGTACATGATTTTCGCCAACAATTGCACCTACGTTAAAGACTTTTTTATACACAAAATAATTTTTTTAAAATTATTTTTCTCTTAAATTGTTCTTATTTCGCAGGATCTTATTGTTTATAACACACAGAAAATCTGATAATAAAAATTATTCAAATCTGATAATAAAAATTGTGAATGTTTCAGATACGATTTCTTCATGAAAATTTTATTGTGTGTGATTCAAATCTCGTTTCTTTAATAATAAGTTTATTAAATAATTTATTTTTTATGTTTAAAATAAATTATTTGATGATATTGTCATTCCTCATTTCAGTCAAAATGCTCAAGTTTAACTTCAGTTTTGTATATAAAATAAACCTATTTTTTATGTACTTTATTTACATATAGAAATATATTTTGTAAGCTGCAGAGCGTAATTTAAAGATGTTTAATATTACGCTTATATACACCTATCACAATAGAAATCGCAAAATATATTTTTAATTTACAGAACAAATTTTTTTATACGTTTCACGATATGTACGATTTCTATCTGTCTTCACGATTTCTGTCTGTATTTACGACATCGCCATCGTTGTATATACTACGTTGTTCATACATTAGCATTTTACGCATAAAATTTTTGACAATTCGGTGCTAATTGTATGATAAATAACGCTAAAGATTTATTTTATTAACGTAGAAAATGTTTTTCTATGCGTACTTAACAATAAGAAATGTTAAATGTTGTATCGTTAATAAACGTATAGGGCGACAGTTATTATTTATATCGTATTTTATATCATTTAGGCAATAAACATCACATTTGAGATTACATTGAAGTATTTTATCTTTGACCTCTTATATATGTAGAAGAGATGTATTTTAGATTGATATATACATACCAACAATATACAAATTACTTCTTTTTATAAGATGAACAACATTCGAGTTTATTGTGGCATATATATTTTTTACAGTTGCTACACTTTTATAACTAATTCTATAGTCATTTAATTGATTCTCTATAATTCTAATAAACTATAGTTAAGTTAGTTTATTGGCCAAAAATTAATGTACATTACAATGCATTGGATGATTTCCAATAAAACAATCTTCTCATTGTTTTATCTTTTTATTATGAAAAATACAAGGATCTGCTTTATTTGATACGGCTACATGAATAAATTAGTATTTGTTTTCATCTTCATTATTTTATATCTGTTAAATGGAACATAAAATATACTTTATAGACTAAGAAAAAAAGAAACTCAAGTGTAACTTTTAAAGAAATAAACATAATAAAAAATCAGAATAAGAGTATTCTTATTTTATTAAATACATATATTTCGTAGAACGGACAAGAAAAGAAACCAACACACGTAAGATATAAATCTTTAAAAATAAACAGTAAATTAAAATAAGTATTTTTGTCATTGGAGATACAGTTTCATTTAAAGTCCGTTTTCACATAAACTATATTATTGATATATATAATATCACATATCATTAACTGAAATAAATTTAATCCGTTTTCTAGGATTCCTTGGTATAATTCCCTTCAGTCTTTTTCTAGAATAAAGGCCTCTTTTAAATTACGATGGAAGTTCAATCTCAAGAACGGCCATGTTGTTTCCTTATTCTAAATTCAAAGGGTGATATCTTCTCATTAAAGAAGATATCGTTAATGAGAAACGGAAATTATACAGGAATTGCAGAATCAAGATTTGAACAATGATTTTTCCTTTCGCTACCTTGATTCTGCAAAGTTCTGTATAATCTCCATTTTTCATGAATGATGTCTTTACAATTTCTTCTGTAATTGGGGTTGTTGAAATAGAGATTATTATCTGAGAATAAAACGAATAGTTCTGAGAATAAAAAATCTAATTTTAAATATTTTTATCATAGATAAATGACTTCTTCCAGACAAATATTAAATTTCATAGGTCTTTGGAAGAGACTTATGAAATTTAATATTTGTTTTAATATCTCGTGAGACGATTCAGACAATATGTTAATTTCTGCAAGTATATCTATATTAGGCCAGTTATTTATGTTAGTTATTCTCCCAGAGCTTATGACCTTCCTTCAGAGGAGTTAATTTGATGTAAGATTTGAGTCTTTCAAAACATTTTAAATAGGAAAAAAGTGACTCTGGCCCATATCTCAAATAAAAGGCAATATCATGAGCAACTTGAATAAGTTCAACAAATTGAGAGCACATAGGGATTATAACGTTTAACTTCTTCCATACTATGTTTGTTTTTCTGCAATCAATTTCTTCATGAAGACTTTTAGCTATAAAGAGAAATTTGAAAACTTCAGTTTCACGATGTATTGCATTAGATAGAGCTTGAAGATAGAATTGTGTCATCTTTCCTGCATATGTATCGGTGTTTTCGTATGGATACCATTTATTTGCAACAGCTTTTGCAGTGAGTTCTGAAAAAAAAATCCTTTTTCTTCTTTAAAAGAATATCAAGACTGAATGTAGTAAACAGACATCGAACTCACTTAGAACAGCCTCTTCCATTTTCGTTAATTCATCATCAATCAATTGAGTGAATTCTTCAATGGTTATGCTCGTTTCAAGTGTTTCATTGCCTTCAACCTGATTTACAGAATCCTTTTTTAGTTTTTTTGAGTCTTTGGATTCGTTCTTTTCTACCGAAGAACTTGAAGGTTTTATCTCTGAACATTTCACAACAAGGGGCTTCTCCTCGCGGTTAGACATTGGAGAATAATTCAATTCCAGACCAGATAATTTTAATCCGAGTATTGGTGATATTGGTACTTTAACCATGACGTTCTCACTGCGGATGGACCTTACGTGACGAGTATATGTTCGACTCTTTTTAAAAGAATGGAGACGAGGATGCTTTGTTTGCTTCTCATTCTCACTCATAATGAAGAAAATTCGAGAAAATCTACTTCGTTTTAGACAAACTATAAATCCAGCTTTATAGAGAGTTTTAAGTTTTACTTCCTTCTATATTAATTTTGTTTTGTTCTATCTTTGTTGTGTTATATCTTCGATGTGTATTCTGGCGACATCCTTGCACGATCAAGAGAAACTTTCAACTCGAAAGGTAAGCAAGTCGTTCTCTCCTTAGATAACGCTTTTGTCGTGTATTTTTTCTGACTTTAAACGCCAGATGGACACTCATCCCGCAATGGAGATTATTGATGGTTAGGGGAGGCCAAAGACATAAGAGAATGGACTGCGCGATCCGTGTGTCAAGATGGTCGATGGGGATGAGAGAGAGGGACCGTGACAGACAGCCATTTCTGTCTCTTTCCATTCAACGGTGTAATGAGAGAGAGAATGAGAGGAAGATTGACCGTCTCCCACGGTCCCTCTCTCTCATTATTATCGACCACATTTGATACACTACTTAGGCACGGATCGCGTAGTTCATTCTCTATGTCTTTGGTGGAGGCCGTAGAACTGGTGGAAGTTGTGGAACAAGTGTTAAAAAAAGTATGTGAACGATGTGAACCAGAGATTATAGTGGAGGGTGAGAACGACTCGGAACTTGGAACGTTGGAACTTGGAACTATTTGTCATTGGAATGCATTGAACACATGTGCTGGTTCCCATTGATATTCTTTTCCCAAGCTGCGATGACAATTAACTACAAGTAAGTTTCTCGCCGAAAAAAACGGGGCATTCCACCATCTCCTACATCTCGCACGAGAAAGATGTACGACATATGCCATCCCAGCGTGAGTAATCATTTTATTCGGATAACCAAAAAGATGTGCGCGATCTTTTTAGTCCGAGAATGTGCATGCCTATGTATGTATAAATATTTTGTACGTAAAATTATTTTGCAATCGTTCTCAATGTACGCTTACAGTATTATCATCTGTGCAAACTTGGCTGTAATGACGTGATAAAAACGAGCACCGCCTTTTATGTCTACATTGAAATATGCGAAGGTATTGTATTCAATTTAAAGGGGTAGTAGACGTGAAATCTATTCTTGCGACAATTTTTCAGTGAAACGATACTGGGATGTCAAATACAAATATAACGAAGAACTTGATGTGATCTATTTCGAAGTGAAGAAAAGGGAGAATTCTCAGGTGGAGATCTATGTGCCTTGGCCAACGAAATACAACATCTGCTTGGACAAGATTGAGAAAATGCAACAATTATTGCAAAATAAACGGTAATTTTGTGATTTTATTTCATTCTTCATTTTCACGTATCTTTGATATTTCTGTAACGTGGTTCTATTTCTGTTATTTTTAGTTGAACTTCTTACACGATTCATCTTTCTTCTCTTTCTTTCTAAAAAAAATTCATTCTAAAAAAGAACTGGCCTTATAATGAATATATATTATATTTCTAAGTAACCAAATTTGATTCAACAGATTGACATTCGTATTTAAATCGGAAGATAGTAGCAGTGTTTTCTATACAGTGACCACTGGTCTCTCAAAACCAGCTACACCAGAAACGAGTAAACAACAAAAAGAAAAAGCTGAAAAAATACTCAACTTGGAAAGTGAAATTCGAAGGAATACATCAAATTTATATGAATTAGCGAAGACTTTAAGTTCTACTAACGAAACTAGCGAACAAATCGATTTGAATACTACAGACTCTTTAAATATTGGACATTCCAGTGTAAAGATATTATGATACTTTTCTTTTACTTAATTTATAATTTTGATCTCATCTATGCCTGTTGTCTATGTATTGGTATTTATCTTTTTTTGTTACACACCTTACAGCTTATGTATCAAACACATAACAGTTAAACACTAAAGTACTGACACGTTGGAAGTAAACCTTCCAATATGAATATATTATAATTTTTCTTGTTGAACATAATAAAATAATTTTCGTTGCAATAAAAAAGTAAACCATGTTTATTAGAAAAGGTGCATTTAAAAATAGGGAGATGTATATTTTTAATATTTATTTTTTAAAGTAATTCACATATATAATGCGGATTTTAAGAATACTTCTAAGGATTGCATAATTGTTTAAAGTGATATGTGATAAGCTGCCACTGCAAATATATGAATCAAATAAATTAATTAAAAAAAATTTTCATCTCTAGCCATGTATTATTAGTAGACACTACAAAATACGAGGCACATAAATTTCCTTATTATAAAACTAATGATAAACATAGCGAACATTTTAACCAAACTTATATCTATAGTAATTTTTATGTAATTATGTTATATATAAAAAATACGTATAACGAAATAATAATCTAATAAATCTTTATAAATCAAGAGTAAATCTATCTACAAAACACCATAGGATGTTTGTATATATGTACATAAAAATTTTAAATTATCGCATTTTGGACCATACATATGTTCCATAAAATCATTAAATAATTTAATTCTTTCTCTGTAAAGAGCTGCGTATAATATCAGTGGAAAAAGTAATTTGTTCACACACGATGCCATCTTCTAACGTATACCAAGTTACACATTGTAAAACGGAAAATACAAAACGATATGATTTGATGTAAAAATATTTTTATCATTTAAAATCGTTTTAAAAAATGAAGTTTTCAAAGATTGTAGACTTCGGCAGTTGGAAGTAGCGTAAAAAGAATGATATTGCATAGCTTTTTTCAGCTATGTAAAATACAAAAATAACATACACGTCAATGGACATCTAGAATCTAGAATGTTATTTTTCGCGAGATGTAAATAATTTTATTATTAAATTAATGAAAGATTAGGGTTTTCTCCCATGCAAGATCCATTTCAAATTGCTTTACAAATTACAATATTATATTTTTTTCTGCCTGTTTTACTACTAAATGCGTTGTCACGTAAATTTTCATAAATTTTATATTTACTTCAGAGTCGTATAATATCAAAAAAGTCGGATTTAAAACTTTATATACATTAATAGAAAACAGGCATATTAAAAATTAGTCATATCTTTCAAATTATCTTCCACTGTCGTATATTATGTTCAAGATCCGAAAATATTTTAGGAATAACCTAAAATATTTTTCTACAGATCTGAACTCGTCCTGCTTGTATAAGAATTATATATAAAATAGATACCAAAATAGTTATATATGTGTGTGTGTATATAAATTTATAATTGCAGTAAGGCAACTAGATCTCGAGATACTCGAATCTATCACTAATGACACGGTTAACTTTTCATGATAATATTCAATATTGAAAAGGTAATTTCACAAGGTAAATTCACAAGTAATTCTGGTCATTACATATTTACGCCTTATTAATATTAAAAAGAGCAATATTGAAAATAAAACTTGATAAATCTCACTAACATAGATAATAATACTTCAGCAATCAATATTTATAATTAACAAAATCAGATTTAACTATATTTTAATTTTATAGTATGACAAATTGAACAAATCTACAATAAAATTAAATGAACTATATCATAATCAAATTATACATTTACCAAGTTCTATTTGAAATATTTTATTTGCATCGTTATAAAGTCTGTAGTTCAATCTTCAATTTTAATTCTAAAACATACATATAGAGATAAATGACAAGTCGAAAAGATTATATACAATATCGGATTACTTCTTACTATAATAGCCAGTAATTTTTCTAGTTCTATTGCATATTACATATCAAAAATTGTTCGATTATTGTAGGCACCTTTTAAGAGATGGGTGAAATGTATCATGGGTTACCTTTAATTAGATTGTGTATGTGTGGAACTTCTACAGAAAGAAATGAAATCTTATAAAGGATTAATTATTAAATACTAAAGTTACAATATGTAGGTAATAGCATCTGTAAAGAAGAGTTCCGTAATAATTAGAAGAAAAATTAATTAAAAAATTTTTCGTAAGTAAAATCTAATAGCTACTTCAATATTACACAGCTGTCAAATCATATTCTCCGCAAAAATTAAAACAGAATCTTAAAAGATGTTCAAGTATGTTCATAGTAAAACGTGGACACGTCTTACAATAATAATTTGTTGTAAAGTTAATTAAAATTGATCGTACAATACTACACGAATAACTATTGAACATAGAAATATCATTCATTTTTCTTTCGACACTTTTGGTTATATATTTATATATACATGATATGAAGCACATGAACTAGTAAAAATGTCTTATAAACTAGAATATGAATGTACATAATCAAGATAATGAAATATAGTAATTAGGATACATGTTAAACGAACCTAAAGGACTTTGATATATAATATTAATGTGCTGCTTCACATGATGTCATAGGGCTCGTATGTGTGTCTAACGTCAATCTTGCAAAATTAGCTATACATGGACTAAATTTTCAATTATCATAACGGACAATATATAATTAGTTTAATCGAAGCGTTAAATATTACTGTCAAAATGATCATTGTTGTTGCACATACAAAGCGCCATTTCAATTTCAATTCTTTATCACATGAGCATGAGCAAGTATAGCTACATTTTGATTTATTTTATGCTTTCTTAATGAATGTTAATATTTTTGTTATTATTATGATTATCCTTTAAGTTCCATAAGGATATATAAAATCTTTGAGTAATATTGCATGTATTATTGTACATAATTAGCAATATATAGATAACGAAACGTTGAAAATAATATATATCTTCACGCAAAAGGATATCCATACATATTTAATACTAGCAACAGGAGTGTCTGGAGATCACTTTTGCAAATGTAATCTAAAATTATTCTCAGTTATATGCGAAAAAAACTTCTTTGTCGAAAGATTAATAGGCTTCATTCGCTTTTTTCTTTACCTGAATTGATTGGAACCTCTTAACTTTTAAAAATATGATCATAAATTCATACAATATTACTTTGTATCAAACCAGAAATTGTAAATTCATGTATATCAACTATTTACTAAAAATGTACATACAACTCATAACATTAGCGGAAAACCTGAGATTCGATAAAAGAAGTTTCTAAAGCGAACTTCGCACTACAAGATGATTCTTGATGAATGTTATTATCTGAAAACTTTAGTATATATTTTCGCATTGTCCCTTACAAATAATTAACACCATATAATTCCTAGCATTCAGTACATTTTCAAAAACATTCTAATTTACCATGAGGGCTAAACAGAAAAAAGCGTACTTTGGGAAACCAAAAAGTTAGAAAGATTCTGACGCAATTGTAGCGTCTGAAGAACTGCCAGAGTCAAATTACAAGGGCAATCTTAAAAAAAGCAGATTTCTAAGGCAATGAACTAAGTTGCATTCGTCATACAAGATGATTCTTCTTCAGAACAGCTATCCAGGATTTGTGACTGGAATGTCTATGCAAGAGGTCCATCTGAACATACAATTTGTACCAAGAAAGATCAAAAACTGAAATGAGTTAACTCATTTTTGGTGAATTTTTAGCTAATATATTGTTGCGCTACAAAAAGCGTTTTCAATTTTATGATTATTATTGTATTACCATGTTTATATCTTCGAAATTCAGACAATCAAATAACCAAAAAATCAATAACTAAAAAAGAAAAAAGAAACTTTCTCTTATGGATGGACAATTTTTTCACTGTTCCCGAACTTTCTATACGTGCAACCGAAAGTGCTGGGAACAACCCAACTCATGATAAGAAAACATTTGTTTCAAATTCTTCTAACCCAGCTTACTGATGAACATGGCGGATACCATGAGGGCCACTTACAACAGAGACTCACAATCTATGAGAAGATACCTTGTTTAGGAATTCTTAGCGAAGCCATTCGCTAAACAATGAGCAATCGAGAGCACCAGAATTATATCCGTCCGCATTAGCAATTGAGAACGTGTATCAAATAGAAGATATATAGATCTTTTAAGTTTTTAGCCTCTTGATAATCGTTGTAACAAAGTGAAGAAATTAGTGTTCAAAAATGACAGATGGTTTTTTGGAATATTCAAATAATATAGAGACAAATATGGATTTTATCTTTGCCATACCGATTACTTTAGTTCAAACAGAAGACATTCAGGATGTCTTTGATTAATTTCAAGATGATGTTTGAGATTGGTTATACGACTGATCAGTTATCCAATGACCATCAACAGTTACGATTCATCTAGTTATACTCGAGAAGTTAGATGAGATGTTAGTCTCACTAATAAATAGATCTCGACTTATGGAGCTGCATTCATGTACACACCACTTTGGTTGAAAAATTTCTCTCGTAAATGTGCCTACTGTGATCATTAACATAGTATCCAAAATAAAAAATCTATACATGATGTATGACATATGATGATACATATTGCTCAGATAAACAAACGCGCGTAAATACCACCGACTGCGCGATTTCATAGCATAAAGCAACTTTTTCTTCATTACGTTGATATTTTCTCAAATATACATCAACATAAACTAATCGTAGTAATTAATATCTCTATTAATTATTACGGCTAGCACCAATCAGCCATATAAGTAAAGTCTTTAAATAGACTCTGTTCTAGGTCGCTAAGAGGCCGAGGATCTTTTGGAGGCGTTAGTTGTGGCTTCTCTGATGTAAACTCTTCATCGAAATTACTTACATCTTCCACTGAATGCTAATAACAGAAATATTTCCATGCAAATATTACGTTTAAAAAAATATCTAATTTACTTCTGACATTTCAACTGTGTGATATTTAAAATTTATCCATGACAAAATAGATGTAATTTCTTTCTCTCTTATATGTTCAAATTTGAATTAATAAATTAATACTTACAATTACTGGTACAAAAGGTGGTTTCACGCGTCTTAGGAGTAAATCATCCCAAGCTATATGTCTGAAAAATGCTTGTTTCTTAACATCTTCGGCGTCTCTTTCACTGCTACCTAATCTCCTTTCTGGATTCTTTCTGAGTAACTGTTACAGAAAATATACGTGGATAAGTTTTATATAGTGAAACAAAAAAAGTAGTAAAATAAAGATACTTACTCTTCTCATGATTGCAATTGCTTCCAAAGAAAGGAATCTTGGATATCGTACTTCGTCATTTACAATAGAATCAAATACTTCTTCTTCATCATCACCTGGGAAAGGGGACTGAAATACATTTTTATTTAATATCCAATATAAATATATTTAAGACCAATTACATACTATATAAAAAAAATAAAATTACCTCTCCAACCAACATTTCAAATATTAAGACTCCAAGACCCCACCAATCTACAGCTCGTGTATAAGAAGTCTCCGTCAGCACTTCGGGCGCTAAGAATTCAGGAGTACCGCAGAAAGTACCTGTTCTGTCTCCAAATCCCATACCTTCTTTACATAAACCAAAGTCTGCGATTTTAACGTAACCTTCTGTATCTAATAGTAGATTATCTAACTTCAAGTCTCTGCAAATAAAATACACTATGAAATATATAAACTATAAAAATATATATTATTGAATTACTTATATACCCATTATATACCTGTAAATAATACGATTTTCGTGTAAATATTGCAATCCGAGAACTACACAAGCGGAATAGAACACAGCGCGTGGCTCTCCGAAAACATCAGCATGTATATGCATCATAAGATCACCGCCAGCTGCATATTCCATTACAAAACATACGTGTGCCTAAAAAGAATTTATTTTTCTCATTCTCTTCTATCTTATAAGAATGTATTAAAAATACTAGAGTAAAGAACTATTATCCGTACCTCAGTTTGAAAGCACGCAAATAAATTAACGAGGAAAGGATGACGCGTCGTGTTTGCTACTTCGAATATTCTCTTTTCAGAAAGCAATGACTCCACTTCATCTCTGGCTATAATATCTCCTTTCTTCAAGGCTTTAATTGCGAAGTACTCTCCCGTATTTCTATATTGCGATAGTATTACTTTGCCGAAATGTCCACGACCGAGTACGGAGAGTAGTCTGAAATTCTCCAAGGTCATACCAGTGAGCTGAGAATGCCTTCTTGACTCATAGGCACTATCTCTATATTGAAGAGGTCTAATTGGCATTTCATATACAACCTGAAAGACAAAGTTATAGTTGAAATAGCTAGTTATAAAATAGTATTTATTACATAAATGAATGTTTTAATGCATTATTATTGTTAAGTTATTTATTATATTAAGAATAATTACTGTATATAAGAGAATTATATGTTAGTATATCATAAGAATAAGACATTTTGAAGATGTGTCCTAGATCTTACAATGGCAGGTTAGGCTGTAATATTTTAATTATTAAAATTTTCGTGTGATTATTAATTTTGTCTATGTAGCGTATACTATAAAATAATTAAAAATACATGCAATGCATAGAAAGATTCGGAGAAAGAGTAAAGATTAAAAGATAAAAATATATATATATATGATGATAATTTATAAAGATAAAAATGAAATAATTTACATTATAAGATAAAGAGAGCATTACAAGAAATTATATTTCTTTCTTCAATATTTACATGCAACATACTAAAGCAAGCAAAGCAATGCTGTGTGTACATGGAGGGTATGTACCTCATCCTCAGGAAACTCGACGACAGGTTGGGGCGAGGGTGTGCGTGGAGAGGGTGGTGCAATCAGCACAGGGCGGGGCTCTGTCACAAGGGGCCTCAAATTTGCACCCTGAGGCCCGCCCTTTTCCTCGTTGTGCAGAAAATCAAACTCCCTTAATGCACTCTGTAACTACATTGCTGTCTCTTTAGCTCTAATTCTTTATTGACTGCAGCAAATTTTAGATTGCGCATCGAAATTATTTAGACTGAAGCATGCATAGCTATTATCTTTAATATATAATTTGAATTTCGAAATATATATTTTACAATGGCTTATGATTTATCATAATAGGGAGTTTAAATTTTTGTTTTCGAAAAATTGAAAAGACAGTGTAAATATATATTGCTTTAACCGACTATGCGAGAAAATAAAATTATATTATATTTATTGTAAAATAATTCATATAACATACATATATACATATATGTAGTTGCCAGAAAACAAGAAACTATATATCCATTTAATAAAAGAAGTGTGAAATGACTACAAGATATTCTTTTAAAGCAAGTGCAAATTAAACTAACACTACCTTTTTATAATTACAGAAATACATAATATATCTAATAACATGCCCCATCAAAATATATACACATCCATTAGAATTATAATTTTTTAGAAAATGTATCTATTTATCACACATTTATTTTATAAACTATTTTGTCCCATAACCAAGATTCCCAGCCTTGAAATTCTAATACATTGTTACAATCTTCTTGTAAAGTGATTAAAAGTAGACATATCATAGAGAAATGAGAATAATAAATTATATGTATTCGTAACATAATGAAAACTCTCCATACACGTATCATATAATAGTATAAACTTATAACAATTACATAACAATTTGCGACATTAGCAATCTTATATATCTTTACATCAAAAGCAAAGATTGACAAATACATATAATGCAATAAACAACATTTCTAACAAACAATATTATCGTGTATCAATATATAGAGCATTTTCATTTAAAAATAATGATATATACAGAAATACGTATATACAAAGACTTACTTCTTGATCCAGTTTGGGAGGTGGTGTAGGTGCAGGCGTAGGTTTTTTTGTCGCAGTTGGTGGCGGTGGAGGAGGATGCTCCGGAGGACGTGGCAGAGTTGGACTACTACTCGATGTTGACATACCTAAAGGCCGTGCGCCACCCAATCCACCTTTCTCCGGATCGGGCACTTCGCCAGGAGTTTCAGGCTTATCTTCTACTGAGGTATCAAACACAAGTTGCAACGGTTGTGGTCCTGCAAATCAAAATATATTGGTTAAACTCTTGGCAAGACTATGCATTTTACGTAGACGAATTTTAATCTTTACCTGACGGTGGACTTTCTGAGCTTCTGGAATTGTGCAATGAAGGCGCCGAACGTTTAAGCAGCCTACCCCACGTCGCAACATTTATATTCATTTGATTTGCTCTTGGGAAATTTTTCACTTGCTGCTTAAAGATTTTGCGTTGACGCTGTAATTTAGGCTTTCGCGATATCATCGGATTTAGAAATTTTATTTCTGCGAACAGAAGGCCTTGCGGTTCCAACTGTAAAGCCATGCCGTGTCGAACGTCATCAATAAATTCTTCTAAACGTAAAAACTTAACCGCACAAAGAGATCTCCAATCTTTCCAATAAATGCCTATTTCAAGTTCTCTTGATTTATCAAGCTCAATAGAAAACCTAAAAATTTTTATTGAATACACAAAATGCACAATCGAATTATTCACATAATTGAGTTAATGCATTATTAATTACTATTACCTTTGGTCCCAAGCTTGTTGGGAACATGGACGCCAACTAGTTTGTCCTACGGTTTGGTTATCCAATTTTATAACTGCCATAATATCATCTGAAATATGATAATTAATTAAAGATAATTAATTAAAGAATTCAAAGATATTGATGTTATTCTCAAAATATCGAAAACTTACTGCTTGTTTCATCTTTCACGCTATATGATTTGCTTGAGCTACGTCCTGTAACACCTTTAACGAAGCTACGTAAATCAGGACTAGCAGGGTGTTCCCTCCTCGTACGCCCAGGCACTTCTTCTGCTAAGTCTTGACATCCCATTAATCTTACCTAAACACATCGCAACATGTAGTACAAAAAAATAATACCGTTGATCAGTCAATTATCTGTAATGTTCTTCAATATACCTCTAATTGTCCTGTGACAGCTGCGCATCTCGATACTGAAGCTGGTACAGTAGCTTTACCCTCCAAAGGACCGCGAAACGGTTGTAATGATGTATATGTAACAGGAACTGGACTAGCTGACTGAACGCTAGCTAATTCTCTCTTTAACTGAGCTGCGGTACCGCTGTCGGGAGGTAACTCTTGCCTTCTGAGCTCGAGGGACAATCTGAGTAAGTCCAATTTTCTACTGGATTCCGCGAGGCTTGCTTGCGCCTGTGTAGTAATTTATGATTTATATAATAACGTGCCATTAGGAGCTAAGATATTTAACACCAGTTTAATATAAAGAGGGGATTATACAATATATATAAGTAAACACACAAATGATATCCGACATAAATTTATTAACGATGCAATCAATATAATACATCCTTGTTAATTTTTATAAATGCTCAATTTGCAGGAGAATGTATTTTTTAGCAGTCCTCGTAATAATTAATTTAGATTTAAAAAAAGCTATGTATAGAGTATATGGAATACTTTAAGAAATATAAATTAAGCACACAAATCACAATATACGAGTTTATATTGTTCTTAATCGCCTCGAATGCAATGGAACGCAATTTATTTTTTAAGCATACAAATCTTATAACATAAATAAATAAAGTGGAAAGCATTTGTCGTCTTATAAAAACTAAAGAATCAATATATTTAAAATCCTCAAGAGCTAATGAAATTGAATGTCACTCTTTTCGCAATTTGAAGGCCGGATGACGTTCGAGCTCACTCAATGAAGAAGATCGTCCTCTACCTCCGTCCTCGAAGTATCTTCGGCAATGCTCGCACGAACACGTCGGATTTTTCGAGGGACCTATATGATGACCAGGCTTTCGAAACGCGCTGATTACTGCTCCAAATTTGGAGGCTTTTAGAATATGTTCAGTTCTATCTCCATACAGTGTAGTGAAGGGAGACGTTACGCGGGAGGGTATGGTCGAAGGAAGGGGAGAAGGGCTCTTCGATCCAAACGGACCAATACGATCGCGTAAAACATTCGTATAAGGGACATAATCTTTGTGTATCGCAAACCGAGAGTGTTCCTCTTGAGCACTTCTATGCTCCGAGTCTAAATTAGTCACACTAGATTCCTCGATTTGACCTTTGCTCGTACAACGGACGATCGAATCTTTTTTAACAAATCGTGATTTATCATCGCCGGATATGAAACTCCAACCGACTGCTCCGCTCTCGTCGGAATCCTCAGCACTGTCCCCAGACGACCAATTTATCTCATGCTTCTCGAAGTACTCTCTCATCTTCCTGTTCTGTAGCAGATGTTTCCGTTCAATTTGCGGCGATCGCCAGATTCTGTTTCTGTCATTACCAGTTTTCGCCAAAATATCCAATTTCCGTATTCTGTCGCGATCCGTGGCATTGGCGTATTCAAAGCTGTCACAAGGCGTCAAGCCAGATTTACTGTTGATCAGGGATTCAATATCGGAGAATGTGTCCTTTGATGATGTCATGGTTGAATCGCATGGCGAAAGAGCCGTACTGGACGACACTGTGGACCACGGAACGGAATCGAGATCCCGTATCCCGCTGTACGAGCTGAATCGCGAGGGGTAAAGAGAACTCATAACCTCGTCGCTATCATATCCCTTCGAACTAGCTAACGAGGGCATTCTCATCGGTGCATTTCTGAAACTTGCGCATCGTCGCTCGGCACTGCGCTTCAGAAACGCGTTTGCATCTTGAAATCCTAGCGGCAAGTTATCTGCCGCTTGAGTGTGAGTGACTTTGACGTCGTCGTTTTCAAAGACTGTCATGGGCGTGCTGTGATTGTCCTCGCTAATCGTGTCTGTGCTGGCATCGTCATCGGATCCTGTGCAGTACACATCGATGTGCACCGTTCGCGACTTGCGCTTACTGCTATCCTCTTTCGCGGATGAGTCCGATTTTTCTGGATCGGTCGGAGGACCAGTACTGGTATTCCCAACTGATGCCGGGGGCGATCGGATTTCCTGCTGAAAGAAGATGATCGTCGCGTTTGAGATTCGTGGTGAACAATCTGTTTCATATATTTACTGCATGTTGCAGATATTTACTCCATGTTGATGACTCACCTCCTTTTTCTGCTCGCTACGCTGGTTAGCACCAGTACCAAATTTCCTCCTAATTTTGCTGCTCTTTACAGTCGACGACGAGCGCACCGATTCGATGTCGGTGGTTTGCGATGCCGCGTCCTTGCTTACCGCAGTGGCCCTGCTGGCATTGGCATTGGTCGTCTTTTCTGCGACGCGAGTGCAAAAATGCGTGGTGAAGGCACTCGATGCGCTTCCTTCCGCACAATCCTCACAGACTTCCGGAACCGTACTGAATTGATGACGTGAAAAGACATATTGGTGCGGAGTTCGACGGTGCCACTGATCGACAGACGAAACTTTCTCAGGATTAGGCTTATCCGCGCCTACAGGGGATAGTACAATGCTGCACGTGCTTTTGCATCGATGATTGTACTGTTGAGAAGAGCGTCGTGCAGGCAAGGACGAATACGTGTGCGGCGAGAACTGTTCGCTGGTATAACCAGAGTCAGAAACGTTCGCTCGGCCTCTAGATGAGATAGAGTCGTCGTTACCAGACGAGCCCGAACGTGGCAAAGTGTACGATCCGCTTGATTTCTCGGGCGGTGTGGACGTGAAGAGTATATTGCCCCGTTGAAAGCCGTAGCCGCCGGCGGTACTACCAGACGACAGGAAAGCGTTGGACGTGGTGGCTGGCGTCGACGTTGATGTCGAGTTCGGTTCGCTCGTGTTCCAGCGGCATATCATGCGAATGCCGCCTGCGTCGGTGGTGGTACTGGTACCCGGAGGCATTTGCACGGTCTCGGAGGTCACCGTGTCGCCGTGGCGGATCGTGACTTCGGCGCGCACAAGCCACGGTGGCACCTGGCTCGAGCCACTGTCGCCCGAATTATCCTGACGTCCATACATCTTGCGCCTCTCTTCCTCCTCAGCCTCTGCCGTGCCTTCATCCACCGCACGACATTATTGTTATCCAATCGGCTCTGCTGCCAGGAAAATACGTCCAAGTGATCTGCCCTCTTCTCCTCCGTACCGAAGAGGCTCTTCTTCTGTTCATGGATTTGAAGTCTCTCTGCTCGAACGTATACAAAATGCCGGCGATTAATCACCCGTAATCATTTATCTCTAATTCTTCATCTAATTTCGTAATATATTGAAAAGAAATCTTATATAATGATATCTATTTAAGAGTTGAGCTGTGCTTGTGCTTCACAATCTCGTTCGTGGCGCAGTTTTTCCCGGAAGGATGGTAATACTGCGGTATTGCATCGCCACCAATCTATTTTCGGGTCCCGTGTTCGAGAACTATCCGAGTGCGTTTCTTTCCGCTTTAACGTTGCAAAATTTTAGCGCCGATACCTGAAGATATGACATAGTAATCGTCGCTTTGCATTCTATTATTCTCTACATATAAAATATGTTTAACAGCTGTGACAGCTGTGATGTGTCAGTTCATCATTGCATATTACACAATATTTCTGCGATTGTTGCAACCATCGCGGTTTCCATCTCTTGTAAGGCAACAAACTGAGCAATATAGAGTGATGTATATAATTAGCACGATATAAATTTGGAGCAACATACAGTCGCATTAAAAATATTTTTTTAAATAACGTAGCATTTTTTATATGCTCGACAGTCACTGACGTAATAATTGTGCGCAATAATAATAATGTGTACGGTCAGGTGAGATGTATTACGATACAAAAATCGATGTACAAGTTGCTTAAAAATTTCAATTAAAATTGTAGACTATTCAGTCTCGATAATTGCCGGTAGCCAAGAGTATTCGAAACACAGATATCTTACGTGTGTGTGAAATTATTTAGCACGTATAATCTAAAAAGATCGAATCGATTATTTCTGAGTAACTCGCATACGTTACACACATTCAAGCATCAAACAAGATTTAAACTTCCGCTAAGTAATGGATTGTTTATGGCTCGATTAGAGACGTTTGAGCGTCCAGTTAGTATACAAGTATCCTGACAGCTTAAATCGATTCTGAAGCAGACGTCAGTCTTCTTTGGAGTGCAGCGTTCGAGAAGAAAGCGGAGGGGCGACTCCAAACGGGCTACGATCATTGGGCGGCTTTATGTCAGTCTTCGAGTTCAAATCATAATTAACAGCCACGATTATCCGAACGCGTGGTCGATATCTTCTTGGATGTCTTGATGGACGTATACATTCCACGGGCGCCTCCTTCGCAGTCGGCCGGTGCACATGTCGTCGGTTTATCGCGGTGCTTACGATACTGGATGATGCCAGTTCTCCTCGAGAGATGGTAACTAAGCGCGACCCGAAAAGGCGTCACGAGAAACGGCGGGGTAGCGCGGGTATTCGGCGAGTTATTTTGAGAGACGCGCGTATACGCCGCCACCGACCCTCCGGGGTCCATGTCGACATGCATTACGCCGCCGACGTCGCCCGCGCGATCCGGCTGTCGACAAGAAGTCGTTTTCGTACCGGCACAGCGGACAAACGCCCCCTCGTCGAAATCACATCACCACTCACATGAGATCTGTCTCCAATACTAATTCCCGAAACTATTATAAATTAATCAATTTACAGAAAATGTTTTCCTAATCAATTGACTTAAAACAATCTAAAAATTTTAGAAAGCATAATCTACGTTAAAAAAAAACTTTTAATATGGCAAATAAGGCAGTGGGATATTCTCATGTATTGCGTTTGCTGATTTAAAAGAAAAATTCATCTTGTTGCGCTAAAAGCGGAAATTGTCCTCATTGTACATTTTCACTAAGAGAGTAGTCGGACAATTTCCACGTTATTATCATTTCGAAACAGCTCTGCCGGCGAAGTGACGTAAATGGCTTCCTTTAATGCTACATATACAAACACCTTTCGCAAATTGCGTGTCACGCGCAGAACTCCGGCTTCCGTTTCCACGTCGACGGATAGCGAATTGAAAAAAAAATGACCACGTACCTCGGTTAGGGCCTTCTTATCAGCGACTTTGGCACTTTGTAGAAGACGTATCACGTTCTTGGCACCTTCTACAACAGCTGCTTCTATTCGTAATCGATGCCGTAGCTCCTCCACCCTTTCCTCCAACGCAAGCTCCAAGCTGGGCTCGTACCTATCTGTAAAAGCATTATACTTATTATTCACATTACATTCGACAAAAAGATCACACTCGCAACGTTAACCATTACTCATACAAAGCTTTCATTTATCTACGGCCGCATGATTATCTTCTTACGTAATGTATCCACCCACGTTTTATAGCGAGGAAAAAGTAAACCATTGTAACGAATATATCCTTCGACGAACAAAGCGCTTCCTTCCAAGAAATGCCATTTACCACAATAACGAACATATGCAACATTGTACTTTTATAATGAATACACGGCACGAATTCCTGGGTGAGATACGAATGTATACCGTGTTCTGAGACAGTTTCATTACCGCAGTAAATGTCAGCTTACTGTCTTCATTCCGTAAACCTCACGTTAACAATGAAATCAGAAATGTATACAGCTTAACTATGGTCGTTCAAACAATTAGAACGATAAAGCTGACGATACGTTCGACAGAATTAAGCAGAATTTCTGATAGCGCGCATACATTATTTAAATAAACGAAGCATTTCAACTCCCCGATTCACACGCGATACCGTAAATTTATGTTGGTACAACTTGTGTCTTTACGTTTATTACAATCAATATTGGAGAACTAATTGTTTTATTTGTAGAAAAATATTTGAGAGACAGAGAACATTCTTTCAATCATCTTCTCTTTCCCAATTTCGATCAAATATTGCATACACAAATTATTATTAATAACGACCAGTACGTACCTTTATTACTAGCTGTTTCACCGTTCGGTGGTGGTGCATCGCCTCGTTGTTGCTGTCGTGATTGACGCACCTTCATAATCCGCATACGTAGGAACTCGATTTTGGCGCGGGAATCATCTAACATTTGTTGAGCCTCCTGTAGCAGTTTCTTGTCGCGATGGCCACTCGTTAAACTCTGTATCATATTTTCAGCACCCTGCTTGACCTACCGTGAACATAAAAGGAATGACATTCTACATTATTTTATTAAAATTTAATTATATATATACAGCATTAAACGTTAAACGCCCACGTTAAAAGTCCAATGTACAAAAAAATTAACCACTTTGTTAAAAAGAGAAAATAGGAAGGTATAATTGCAAATAATTAACGCTTCTACATTAACAAGTGATAACTACAAAGAGTTCGGACGCGTTAGTCTAATTATTTCAAATCCTTGCGTGATGTAACGAGAGATTATTTTTAGTAAGAGAAAAACTATGAGCGACTCACTGCGCTGACTCATGCGAGGCTAATACAAGAAAAGTGAAAGAGAACTATCGAAGTTCTGCGTAATCATTCAGAAAGTTGTACATAACGACTTTGCGAGAATTATATTCTAAATATATATTATCAAGAAGTTATATACCGACATATAATATATTTATTATAGAAAGAGATGTTATTTTGTTATCGGTATTCTCCGATATCGCAATTGCTGCTAAAAAATCTTGATAAGTGACAGCTTGATATCACGCAATATCATCCGTGTTCGCGGATATCGCAAATGTCTGCTTGTGATTTTGAAATGTATATCGTAATTCAATAGTGTCTCTTCAGCAAGCGGATTTCTACCTTCAGTTCGATATTGAGCTGCTTCTCCAAGGACAGAAGCCGAAGATCCGTGAATAGACCTTCCTGACTCGGCGACGAAGGCCCCATCGGTGATAGAGGCGTGTCTGAAACAAAAATAAACGTTCACGAAATAAAAGAATCCTATATGACCTGATGTATCGGTGATACTAATGTGTTAAACGACGAACGAAATATCTCTCGATGAAACGGAACACTGTACGAGCTTAAAAAAGTAGTCGTAAAAAAATATGCATATATATATATACATATACAAGGGAAGCTCGATAAGTCAGTGACTGTCTTTCTAACTTTTTTTTTTTACTAAAATTCCACTTATTTTTCAATATAGTCTCCTTTCAAAAAGTCACTAACTTACCAAACTGCCCACGTACGTACATAAATACACATACACACACACGCGCGCATATATATATATATATATATATGTATATGTATATGTATATATATGTTTTCTAACATTCTACGTGCGATTCGGGTCCGCTTTCTTTAGCCCGCGGGTATCCTTCTTCACGTCACGTCCGGATTTTCCACGTTAGTATATAAGCAACCGCTGCCGTACACGTGAATGGTTTTTCATGTCTGACAATCTCCATGATTTGACAAGGGAGATCGTACAGCACGCTTGGATCCTACTTTCCATCACCTAGTGCTGACGTGCTGAAAACGCCCAGACTCCCACGTATTCAAACCAAGTATACGGGGGAGTGTGGAAAAAAAAGTGATGTCCCGCTTTGTTTCAGGAACACACCGTTATGAATTTCCCATCGCTTCCTTTTCACCGCGTTCATTCTGCCTGTCTATCATAAACGTCTTCGAGATACAACAGGGGATTATCTGACAATTGCGTCAGACGCTACTCTTGCAGAACGACGGAATCTCTACGTACGCGAATAGACTTGCGACCACATTTTATGAATAATACAATAATGCATACACAATGTAGTAATATTAGGATGCGTACGAATAAAATACCGCGTTATACGTAATTCGTACCGGAACGGTGTGGGAAATGCAAGTCATAATTATGAGCGTTATTTCCGTGCCCGCCGGAACTTTCAACAATTACATTAATCAGTGTACTTTACGTAATCATATCGCGTTATTCTTTGTTATATTTCGTATATTTTAATGACGCAGACGTGCTCTGACGTCTCCCTAATTGCGAATCTCCTCAAGGATATATATAAATAATTGCTTACGTAATGCAAACCATTTAAACATGTACGAATGTATCCTCTTGAGATATAAATTAACCCTCCGTTTGCAATCATATTTTTAATCCCTCCGTCTGTAAAGTTCTATAAGACTCTTAAAAAAAAATTTCGGATTATTTTTCATCTCTATTATCAAATAGTTTTTAAGTCAAATGTTATTTAATATCAATCTAATCTAATTAAATATAATTTAATAATTAAAAAATATAAAAACAATTTAATAAATGTGAGCAAAAATGAAGTTCACAGTGAAATTTCATGTGCTAAAAAAAAAACGCAAATTGCAGACGACGGATTGATTTCAGTACGAAAAATGTCAATTCTTCGAACAATTCATTTTACTTTAAACGGTAGATTACATCGTTATTTCAAGGCCGATGTGATTCACGTCGGTCGTTGTTCGGCGACGACACACCGTTGCATCGTGTATGACTGGCGCACGAATTTAGCTCGTTAGTGGTGCGATGTGGGGCACCCTTTCCTCCATCGAAATATGCCTATTATGCACCCATGCCTGGGCGCGCGGGAAGCTACCGTAAACACGTGCACGGTTCCACGGTTCCGCGATTTCTCTGTGCGCGCGCTTACGCACACAGCACATAAACACGCACGCACGCACGCACGCACGTCGAGATAAACGACGCGTAGTGCCCGTTCGACGCGAATGGGCGAACGCGGACAGACACGTTTGCACACCGTCTATGCACACGAGCATGTCTGACGTGTCCGAATAAGGCGATGTGAGGGAGCGAGCAGATGCGCGATTTTTCACGCGATACTTCAAATACGCTATATCATCAAAGATGTATGTTAATTGTTAGCTTAGAGGTCAGGAATCACATGAATGCCTAAACGGTCGGCACGAAAACTAAGTATCTATATTTGTAATGTTATTTATGCTCCTTTAGCGTGGAACGCAAGAGATCGTAAATATCCCGAGAAGTTCTGCAAATATACATATGTTGAATTAGAATTGAAGCCGAGATTGCATGGAAGATTATTATTTCCGATATGCACATTTCGGCAAGCTTTACATTTGATACAGAAAGGATGGTTCTGCTGAAGTCTCTAAAAATTTAGGTGGATACAGATTTAAAAATGATTTTTATTATTTTATTAGATAATGAAAGTAATTATAAAGCGCGCTTGAACTAGCAGCTAAAACCTAATTATTTTGATGACCTACCAAAATTATTTTCAAATCCGTATCTACCTAAATTTTTTAATACTTCCGCGAAATCATTCTTTCAGTGCAGGTAGATTTCTTTTTACGAAGCACACTTCTCGGAAAAGAATCTAATCGGCAAGGATTTATTTTTACGGCTCCAATCGCAAAAAATTTAATTAATTCCCTGCACATAAAAGTTTATAGATCTTATCAATTCCCGGTGACTCCGTCGACAAACCTCTCGAACAATCGCGGGATGGCTATTATTCCTAGGAATCACAAGTAGATATAACGAGAAAATATCGAGAGAAACGGAGAGCCTGAGTCTGCGCGAATGTGCAAACACGTACCAAGCTTTACAATGCGGCGA